GTGTTGTCGTGTTAGTGTGTGTACGTGTGTGTGTGTGTCGGTGTGTGTGTGTGTGTGTGTGTGTGTGTGTGTGTGTGTGTGTGTGTGTGTGTGTGTGTGTGTGTGTGTGTGTGTGTGTGTGTGTGTGTGTGTGTGTGTGTGTGTGTGTGTGTGTGTGTGTGTGTGTGTGACCTCAGCCATGTCTCCCAGCTCAGAGGTGGGCGTGGCTGAGGGAGAGTTACTCTGTTGCACCAGGTCAGGGAGGTTACCATGGTTACCGAACATCTATGCAGACCGCCTATAATAATAAGCCATTGTATTTATTTTTAAATGTTGAACATGTCAAAATACAACTTTAATGCTGTGTAAAGATTTGTAATTTCTTTACGGAAGCTATTCCTCATACTGTTTGAATTCATTTTTTTCACTGCAGGAATTTCCTAATATTATCTACCGTTTGTAAACACACGGTAATGCTACATGGCATGCTACGCTGGATCACAATAAAGAACTGAAATGAGTGAAACATTTTTTATTTCCTCTTTCAGTAACCCAGACCTGCGGCGCTCAGAGCTCTCTCTGGACGCCATGCTGCAAAGAACGTCCTCCAACTCCTCATCCTCTTCCTCCCCTTCATCTCAAGGAGACTCAGCCGAGAGGAGAGGTACAAAAACTCACACAGACACTCACGATTATACCGTTGTAATGCACCCACACTGACAAGCTTGCACGCAAACAATTAAAAGCCTGTGTGTGTACTTGTTTACATGCAAATGCGAACACAGACACACACTCAGAGGGCTTCGGCGACTTTCAGAGGCTATCAGCGGGACAGTGTCAGCTGCAGTTCTGCTCCGATCAACCTGTCTGATGTGCCCTGTTACTCCCAGCCTCCGGAGAGATAGAAGAGAGGAAATGAGAGAGGCAGATAGAGAGAAGCCTTCACGGATGTGTCAAACAACAGGCCAGAGGGATATCTAAGATATGCATGGATATCCCCTTGACATGGCAGAGGGAGAGGTTGGAGTACGGAAAGATCAGCTTTCTTTCATGTTGGATGTTATAACGGGGTTCACAGTCAAAATGGCGGAAATGTAAAAAATTAGACAAGCAGTAATCGGAATAGGGTGAGAAAAATACAAAATAGATCTAAAAAAAGATTTTCGTGACCACACCTTTTCACAATATGAATGAGTAGGTAGGAAAATATGATGAAGTGATATCTGTCATCATTTGAATTAACATTTTTCCAGATTCTGATCAAGCTAATTGATCTACACGTATGTAGGTACAATGTGTAATTTATTTCCTGCTATGATAGGTCAAGCCAAGCCAGAAGGATCCCCACCAGGAGCCAATCAGGAGGCAAAGCCCAAACAGGAAGAGGGCCGTGAATCAGCCAGACCCAGCAGACCTGCAGTGAGTATCACACACACACACACACACACACACACACACACACACACACACACACACACACACACACACACACACACACACACACACACACACACACACACACACACACACACACACACACACACTATCTTTCTGTCGCAGCACTCTCCTCCCTGGGAATCTTCTTGAGGCTTCTTCTCCTTTCTTCTACATTCATCTGGTTCTTCTTTTCTCTGCCTCCCTGTTTTCTTTATTCTTCAGAGCTATAAGAAAGCCATAGATGAGGTTAGTGACACTCGAGTCCCCCCTTTCTTTTATCCCAGTATTCCTTTGCCTCGATCTTCAGAGCCCTTCTTTTCCCCCCTTGGCATGGTGGCGTTAGTTGGTTTTCACAAGAAGATGACGTTTCTTTCTTTTAAGTAAAAAAAGAAAAAGATCAGAGTGTGAAGGCGGTGGCAGTGCATGTGTGCTTCTACACACATACCTCAGAGAGTGTATGTGGACGTGCGCTTGTGCCAGTTTGAGTGAATGCATGTGTGTGAAAGGGTGTGTGTTACCTGAACTGCCAAGCACCTGATTTCTCTGAATCTGTTTTCCGGTTTCTCTGATGTCACGGGCACTGATCAGGAGGAGCTGGTAAGCCCGCCGTGTATGACGGTTCCCCCTCCCCCCCCCATCTGCATGATTTGGACTGATCCATCGGGCTGGCTTGAATGGGGAGTTACGGGAGGGGAGAAACCACAGGCCAGTTGGCATGCGGTTGATTGGTAGCGCGAGGGGTGCGGATTAATGCTACCATCCAGTACAACATCAATCCTGATTATCTGTCTCCTCTGATGACCCCTCTTCACATGGTCGATGCTTGTGAGCGAACAAAAGTGCTGATTATGTAAACACTTCCTTTGTCACAAATGAATGTGTCACTTGGCTAAGCTTTAAGTGTTTCTCAGATAAGCATTGTTTGTTCCTGTTTACAAACCCGGGTGTTTGTGTGACAACAAATCAGTTTGCTCTCGTCACCATGCCCCTCTCTGCTGCCCTCGTGCTTGTATATGATTTGGTCTCCTTCTCCTCAGCGATACAGAGCTGATGAACTAAGTGTCTCTTACTCCTCGTTTATTCTGTTCATCTCTACAGGACCTTAGTGCACTGGCTAAGGAGCTCAGAGAACTGAGGGTGGAGGAGGGCAGCAGACCTCCAGTCAAGGTACGAATTATACATGTACAGGTGTGATGAAAGGGTTTTCACCGGATGTTCACTTTGTTTTATATTATATGTTATATTGTTTGCTTCGACTTTGTCTTATCTGTCTCAGAGAATTTTTTTTTTTTATAATCGTTCATTTGACCTCCTTTTTAACCTGATAAAATGTTATACTTTGCTGCATGTACCTTTTAAAGTTCTTAACAAATAATCTGAGGGGAATTTCTTGTTTGTTTTGAACTCGTGATGTGTCATTTTCTAAAGCACGTTGAGTGTTGTTTGAAAAGTGCTATATAAATAAAGCTTTATTATTATGATGTTGAACGGATAGATTTATATTGTAGTCTTGGCCTGCGATAGAAAATTGTAAAAAATAACACAATGAAGTAAAAGGATTATTTATGGTCCGCATTAGAATGCATGAAACCGTTCAAAAGTAGATTTTTAAATAATATTTTAAACCATGTTTTTTGTACATCAGGAATTGTCTTCTTCATTGCTTTTAGACTTTGAAGTTAATACGGGCAGTATCTTATCAGGGTAAAACGTGAAGCAGTGGCAGGAATGAGCTCCTTGCGTGATTGTATGCATGCATGTGCAGGATGAAAACTATACAAAGGAGGCGTGTGGCGCAGTGGGTTGTGCGTAGGTGTTGGGATCAGGGGGTCACAGGTTCAAACCCCACTGCAGTCAGCATGTTGTTGTGTCCCTGAGACACTTCACCCCAAATTGCTCCTGTGGGGATTGCCCACAGTATTGAGTATGTAAGTCGCTTTGGATAAAAGCGGCTAACAAGTGACATGTAATGTAAAATACAAGGACTACAGGATGAACCATTGCTCTAGAGCAGGGGTTCCCAAACTTTTCAGCCCGCGACCCCCACAATAACAGTGCCAGAGACTGGGGGGGTGCTAGTGAATTAATTTCAGTTTTCCGCACAAACACTGCGCTA